TTTTACTGAGTAACTCTGTAATTTTCGTTAAATACAATCCGGTTGCCCAACCTGTGTTCTGTTTTCACTACCAATGGCCTTCTAAATAGGTCACTTCTTATTGGCTTAGTATACGTTTTGACAATCACAGCCATTACTAATCTGGAAAAGTAAGTTTCGTATTCAAATTGCGCTGGGTTAGTTGCATTTCCTTTGGGTTGTATAGTTTCCAAGCATTCTAATATTTAAATACTCTATTACTGCATTAAATTACAAAGTTATTCTAAAGAACACAAACTAACTTATCTGTCTCTTGTAGTCTACACTTTGACACTGTTTGCGGAGCTTCATCTTTATGATATGGTCAGACAACTTAAGGATTGCATTTCAATTTTTTCAAGTAACGCAAAAGTGCTCTATTTTACCAAGGATTACTACTTGCAATAATAATTTTATTGCGGGGTTGTTGTGAAGATTGTTAAGTTTTGTTTGTAACCATGAATCGATCAATGTTAGACCACCATTTGAGACCTGGAAGCACTGGACGGCTGTTTCGTCCTGGTAAAGGACTCATCAGCAGTGCGCATCCTCGACTCATTGTACCTTTATCGTTAATCAAATTAACCGTTCACGTATGTTCAAACACAAATCACACCAGCTTAAGTGATACGTTAAGAGAATTCGTTGGAATGCTTAATATTGATAAATTCTATTTTTTAGGTGCGTTATTCAGTTTATTAGTTCACAGGTAATGATAATAATAATAATCAGCACAGATCCAATTAGATATCTGTGTCTATCGACAAGATTACTGATCATCACAATCATGACATAATTTATTACTTTGAATGACATGCATAGTCATGCAATCGGCCCAACAGGTCCTGCTATTCAGTCACAACAATTCAGGACATTTGAATGAACTAATCGAATTCAAATAACTTATTGTTGACAATTAATTAATCAACTAATTTGTACAAGCAACAAAAAGTGTCTTCATTGTTAACTGATCACGCATTTTGAAATACAAAATAACCAAACAATAATTGCTAAATTTTTATAATCATACCATTAAATTTTTATCAACAGAAGTCAGGTATTTCACCTGTCTGTGGATAAATGTTAGCCTACTTTAATGAACTTCAACACTAAAATATATCAAGAAAAAATCGATACATAGTGCTTAAGGACATATATTTTACTGATAAAGTTTACTTAAGGAAAGCAAATATACTTGTAATACTGATCTTGTGAGGCTAATGGTTTACAGTACTCTGAGTGTTTATTTCTGGTTAAAACCAGTTCATATGTGTACATTCTGACCTACACTTCGAAATATTTCGAATGACAATGCGTTGTTTATAGTTTTTTTTATGGGAAAATATGCCCACTGCCTTCACTTAATTGGGATGTTCTGACTAAAAGTGAGAACAAGAATGAATAGCCTGGCTGTAAATGCTAAACTGAGCTTTTGGATAAAGAGAATTCACTTACCGGATTTGAAAAGTTTTGATTCCACACTTATGGTGTAACGTAGGCTCCAACAAACCTGGGATAGTAAGGAGAATAAGAATTTATACTGGGTAATTGGTTGCAGCTGGTCTAGCATTACTCTTCTAACTTGTAGATTAGACTGTTAGATCAAAGATGAGGCATGTGATACTCTGAATAAATCATCTGCTTCTAATTGGGAACCTAAATCAAATCTCAGCTTAAATATGCATAAACAATGATGGACAATTATGAGGATAGCGTTCTGTGACACCTGAAAATCTTTTTCTGTGTAAATCACTAGTATTCAGAAAGAAAGCTGAAGTTACCAGTGACCAACAGCTTTGCATGCTAACAAATAATTTCCATACACGAGGGTAGTTGTAGTTCATCCATTTTGTGTCATCACTTAGATTTAACCAAGTGTCTTTCTTCTTGTATTGATCATTTTCGTGAATATTTCAACATTACAGACTTGTCACAATATTATTATCATTATGATTTTATTTCACACAACACTCATTCTACTAGGATGTAAAATTGTATTTTATCACAAAAGATTATCATGCTTGTTTGTCACATTGTTCTTGATCTGTGGAAGCATTTTTGAACAAGATCGGTTTGTTTTTGATAATCTATGTATAACCTGATTATTACAACCACTCATTCATAACAGTGAGTCGATTTATAAGTTTCACTTATAAACATAAACACTTTATTTCAGTTGTAATTCAGTTTTTAAGCCCTGAAATTTAGTAAGAGTACTAAAGTAGCTAGTAATATATTGAGCAAAATTATTCCTAATGAAGTAAACAATATGATAGGCATTGGAGATTGATACTGACCTTGTATGTATATGTTTGAAAAACATTTATTATCTTCAAACAAACTATACATTTCATTTTATGAGATATCTTATCTCAGATTAAAAATTCTCTAACTTTGAATGTGACTGAAAATGTTACTCTTCGGAGCTTCATCAAATACACGTTAAACATTTAAGCTTGCATTACGGGGTTGTGAAGATTGTTAAGTTACACATTTTTGAAACCATGTATCGATCAATGTTAGACCACCATTAGAAACCTGGAAGCACTGGGTGGCCGTTTCGTTCTGGTATGGGACTCCTCAGAAGTGCGCATTTGAATTTAATCAAGTTAGACATTAACACCGTCGGATACCGGCTCGGTGGTCTAGCGGTTAGGGCGTTCGCGCACAATACCAAACGTCCTGGGTTCGAATCCTGTGAGGTGCAGGAGTCGTGGATGCGCACTGCTGAGGAGTCCCATACCAGGACTTGACGGACGTCCAGTGCTTCCAGGTTCCTAATGGTGGTCTAACAATGATTGACTCATGGCTTTAAAAATGTGAAACATTTAAACGTCGATTGAGTTATCAAATTATCAATTTAAATTTACTTTTTTACTGTTTAACTCAGTTAAGTAATCTGTTTTTCTGTAATGAATTTTGTCATAATATTCAATTCTTATTTCTTTTGTAATAATAATTATGTTACTTAATACATATTCAGTAGCTTTACTAATTGCTGGTGATTTTTTTAAATACAATACTGATAATATCTTTTCAGTTATTTTAAATTTCTAAATATTTGTTTTAATTCGTGACATTCGATCGATTTTTTTTAATGCAATTGTATTCTTTTGAAATTCTTGATCGACTATATTGATTATTTGTGTGCTCAATGTACATTTTTCACCGATAAAAATTCCTATATTTTAATGTATATCACTCTTGCGTCTGTTTGTTGCTTATAATAATAAGTATTATTATTGAAATTAGGCAGCCAATGATTATTTTTCACTGAATTGTATATTTCTGGTTGATTATTCTTATATATATTGATTTAGCCAAGCAATTCGTCTATGAGTTCAATTTGACGCATGTAAACGATCCGGACACTTCAGTAATTTATTTCAAATTGGTTGTTGTGTGGTGTGAGCTACTTATAAGTAGTATATGTCGTGAGTGTCAATGTAATGTCTGGCTGCAGAAGATGGGGTAAGATCAAGAAAGGAAAAGTTAGAAAACAATGGAATTTGTATGAAACGCATGAATAGTGAGTGACAATGGATTGATGTTTTGCAACAGGAACAGTCTAGTTCGATATGATGGACTGATAATTTGTAAATGAACTATTTACGATATGGTTTTCCAATATATATATATATATATATATATATATATATATATATATAACATTGGTTGTAAACTCAAGGATTCATAGATTACGCTTACTGTAAAGGTTAACATTCTTATTGGTTAATGGATAACATTTCTACGGAGTTGAATGCATACAATGATGAAAAGTTTTCGATTATCGTTTTTTATACAGATCAGTTCATGATAATAAATTTTATAACTGCTTCTCAATAGCTTCTATAATAGACTCCTTTTAAGATCAATAAAACAATGACATTGTATAATGATTTGAAAATCTTGTAAATGAACTCCCAAATCGTTTAGTGTATTTGTACATATGTAATGATATGAATAGGAAGTGAGTTCATTTCAAATATTCAGTGATACAATTTGAACTTAAGATTTAAGCTGAAGTGTTATGCATTACTAATCTAAAATTAATGCTAAATGATATTATTTTTGGAAAATTAGGTTTACTAAACTTAACATCATTTTTGTGATCTAAGTGTTAATAATTTGGTATGACCTTGAAGCTTGAGTGTAGCACTAATTGGTTCTTACCTTAAAACTGAAATCAGGCTGCAGTGAATATAATTGTAAAATATTCACTAAAATTATTGGAATCGTATTGGGAAAAGGATTATGAAAATAGTCACTAGTATATGATACCTAAGTATCAGGTTTTCATGTGGTTCAACTGAACTATAATGAATGTAGTACATAACAAATTATCCAACCGAAACTCTCTGAAATTTGAGACAAATGATGATCATTTGATTAGCGATTTGTTCAACATATCAGTTGTCTTACGTTTTTTTTTGTTCTGTAGGAGGAACAACTATGGACGTATTTTACTTAATTTCGCTATCATTTGTAAAAATTGCTGGCAACTCACAAGAATACATCTGTAAGCGTTGGTATACAGCGTGCTGAAAAGGCTGAGAATATCGCATGCCGTTGGCATGTATTGGAAATTACCTGGCAATTTTCGGATGATCGACTGATAAGGTACCATACTTTGTATGATTATATATCCTGACACTAAATTCAGCGACGTAAGCTTACTGATAAACTATGAAACCCTAGCGTTTTCTGTTCAGCAATAAGTAAAGATTAAGTTCTGAATGCGTCTTCGTTTTTCTGTAAAAAATTCTTGGGATTTAGAAAAGAGCCATCAAGTCTGTTGGGAACGTTAGATCCCCGGAAATCGCTTGATAAATAAATGCCTTATTTTGGATTGCACGTTTGCCAGCATGGGCTGATCAGCTGACATTGAGATTTCATTTCCCATCAGGAAGATCCATGGCTGTGATAGGCTGATGTGTATTTTAGTGTGCTATTTTCGTAACTGTCCGAAGGACGTTTCTATGATGCATCAATAAATGAGAGTTGTGTGCTTGAGTGTATTGTGCTTGCTGAATGTTTGTGGAATATACTTTCTACGCTTACCAAGTCTTCTGTTTTGCAGTTTTGGGATCAAGGTAGCCTACCTGGACGCTGATTGATTGTCTCGTTCGTGTTTATCGACTAAGGTGAACTCGTGTTAGCTTCAAGCGTACTTATTGACGAACCTAACAAGAATACATGAGATTGACTTCCTGCATAATATAACATCACCTATTAGTAGTTAAACCAAGATGAATGAACATAAATATATTTATGAAAAGAAATAAGTAAACAGGTAGGACAATCACATTAATAAACAATATTACATTTCGATAATGTACAAAAAGTTTGTTAAGCAATTACAAAATAACAATGAAACTACATTTCAGTATCAACAGAGAGAAAAAGTAACTAGAAAAAAAAAACTTCCTAGATGCTTCAAAAAATAAGTTAGAAATATCTATAATCGAAATGATAAAAATTAGTTTATCTAACATGAAAATCAAATAGCATTTATAATGCACAAATTCAACTAAGCCATCGTTCCCATTAAAACAAGAGTTTTAAATTAAAAACTATGCATTGAACATTGAATAGATTGAAAGATTTCCCAGTAATAAATTAAACAACCTTTACAAAAGTTTTATCTTATATCCTTTTAGACGTTTAAAGTTGATTAATTGCAATAAATTCGAGTTTTAAATGTGAACATTAACGTGGATAAAGCTATATCCGCATGTCTCAGACATAACCGAATATTCATTTTCAAAACTTACTCTTTGTCATGTTATCAACTGATTAGAACTCTATAGGATTTGAAATTCAAGAGTAAAGTGACAGCTAATAATTAATAACTTGCGTTGAGTGAATACTTGTAAGTTGAAACCATGTTGAACTATGCAGACTTAAGTTTGCTACCCGTTTTATTATGTCGAGAACATCAAGATCAAACCAAGTGTTCACATTCCCATATTCAGTTACTGTAAAATACAGCCTTATAGTGATTATTAATCTCTCTACCAATTAAGTCATTGTCAAATGTCAACGGTTATAGTTTTGGTTTGTATTTTTGTAATTGTTTCCTAATATGCTGTCACTAATTTACATAACATTACTTTTCAGAAATACATTTCTTTATTCCTACAGTTGTTTCGGTCACATTCTGATACAGAAAGTTAGACAGTAGTGACCAATATTCATGAATAATAACTGCACTAATTCGTAAAAATGACTGCAGATACAAATGCTGAACTCTGGTAGGTCTCTGTACCGCGAAGTAAAACAACTGTAGAGAATTTTAGAAAAAACTTTCAAAGTCTACTTTAGTCAATGTTTATCTCTAATAAAAATTCAGATTCAGCCTGAACAATCATGGCCAAATGTTCAAGTAAAAGGCGATAAAAAAAGTGCAACTTACAACAACACCTCCTATTACCATGCATATACATTTCTAAATCCGTCAATGCAGTCATATTTTTTGTAATAGGCTTAGAGTAGAGAGTGCACGACTTGATTGAATTCTGTAAATATTTAGAACAAAACAGATTATTATATCATTAAATTATTGTAACTTTTAATGTGTAACAATAAATCAAGTTAATAAGACTTTGTTTTAATATTCTCTCCTTTACAAAATTAGTGTTGTAATACGACAGCGTATGAAAATATCTGAGAAAACAATAGTTTAGCCTAGTATAATAAATACACTTGTCACTATTTACAATAATCACAGTTATCTCACATATACATGAGATAAAATTTTAGCCTCATAATCAACTAGTACTTCGATAGACTTGATCATGATGTAGTGAATGAGAGCACAGGTGGGGCAACCGGATTGTATTTAACGAAAATTACAGAGTTACTCAGTAAAATAGGAAAACCATATCGTAAATCGTTTATTTGCAAAATATCAGTTCATCATATCGAACTAGACTGTTCCTGTTGCAAAATATCAATCCATTGTCACTCACTATTCATGCGTTTCATACAAATTCCATTGTTTTCTAACTCTTCCTTTCTTGATCTTCCCCCATCTTCTGCTGCCAGACATTACGTTGACACTCACGTCATATACTACTTATAAGTAGCTCGCACCACAGTACTAGTAGTAGTAGTAGTAGTAGTAGTAGTAGTAGTAGTAGTAGTAGTAGTAGTAGTAGTAATAGTAGTAGAAAACAAACATGTGTATAAAAGTCTGACCAATATAATCAAGCACTACTGATTTTTAAAATGATCATTCAACTTACAACAGGATATGTATAGGAATCACATTCACAGTCTAATTGACATTCATCCAAACAACTATTGGTTGCATTAACACTTCTCAATGTATGCGACTGCATAAATTTTTTGTCAGGTAATCCAGGTTTACTTATCCAAATTGTATAATTGCATCGAGAACAGTTGATAGATTTCGAACAAGGTGATACATGCACTGAATAAGAATCGATTTCTATTTATCACAAAAAAAGAAAAGATTGTCAATAATATATTTTGGGGCAGAGTTTTGGAGGTTTGCGTTTTTACACATTTGAAATATCGTAACAGTGCTCACTAGTGACTAGCTTCGTGGGGAAATTCTCAGAGTTCTAGTTGAGAAGACGTGACCAATGGAGTTCAACCCTGTCTGGTGTAGGCAGTAACCACCAAAGACAAATGGGTGAGGTCGCGCAAAATCCGTAGATCAATCAGAGCTAGACATTAACACCCGTTGGACGCCGGCCCAGTGGTCCGATGGTAAGTCATTCGCACACAAGACCGTAGGTCCCGGGTTCGAGTACTGTGAGTTGCAGAAGTCATGGATGCGCACTGCTGATGAGTCCTATACCGGTGAGAAACGGCCTTCCAGTGCTTCCAGGTTTCTGTTGGTGGTCTAATAATGATTGATTGATGATTTCAAATGTGTAGTAATATATTTGTAAATTTACTATACCCTGATGTATAGATTGCTGCGGCTAGTACAAATAGCCAATAATCATTCATGCTTATAGTTGAATAAAATCTATTCGATGTAACTAGATGCTTGTATATGGTTTTAAACCATGAATTGCTTGTTTTTGAAGGTTTAGAAATGGTTCTTCAGTGTTCAAACTTCTGAATTGTTTATCGAAATCTTGACAGTTTATAATGCTTTTATTCAAATCATGAATCAGTCAATGCTAGACCAAGTGGAAGTACTGAACGGTTGTCTAGTCCTCGTATAGGACTCATCACCCATTACATAATTACTCAATCAACAAATGAAATCGTATTAACCATGAAATTCAAGACTATTAAGTTTGGTTGCATATGAAATAAATATTAATTTGCAGAAGCTGATTCTTCGTCATTTATATCTATTGGTTCATTGATTCATATCAGAAGAATCTGAAGAAAACTGTCCACAAACCACAAGCATATTGTACAACACTATATAACAGGGAATTAGCTTGAAAGCGTAACTTGATATACGTAGGATTATTAATGTATATTATTCTTGTTTAATTATTAGACAGACAGCAATGCATGATAAGTAATCACTGTTTATAAATTCTTACACATATATCTTTTCGAATAATAACAAAATATATTAACAAATCATGAACCCGATCATCGTTAGACCATCATTGGCAATGAGGAGGTACTGGACGGTCGTTTCATTCATTACAGAACTCATCAGCAATACGAAGAAGCGGCAATAAAGCCAAGGAACTTCGATTTCGTCAGCGCTTAACCTCATGACCATTGAGTCAGGTTACCAAAAGTGGTTCGTTACATTGATCGGTTCATAATTTAAATGAAACTCAACAGTCTTCACAATCCGATAGTTGTATATATATATGCAACGTCTTTATTTAGTTAAATTAATAACTCTACTCAAAATATTGAAAGCTTACCACAACATCTTTTCGATCCAAACATATAACTAGTTTGATTAAACAATGGTAGGTACTTGTAAATATTATCACTGAACAGAGTACATTTTGGTGATGATGGTGTCTAATAAAAATTGTCAATAAAAAATGATAATCAAACAGAGGATATTTAGGCATTATTTTTTTTCAATAAAAATGATTTTTTTCAGTATTCACGATAGAAATTCATTGATTAAAATGCAGTTAACCAACGGGTAACACGAACGTTGTTAAAATGTCAACCATGGTACATTGATTCAAATTGTGATATGATGATATGCATTACATCAGTATAAAAAGTTTTAGTGTGTTTTAATTAGACTATGCATTGAACATTGAATAGATTGAAAGATTTCCCAGTAATAAATTAAACAACCTTTACAAAAGCTTTATCTGATATCCTTTTAGACGTTTAAAGTTGATTAATACAATATATTCGTGTATAAATTAATGTAAAATATAATAATCTTAAAGTTTAATGATACAAAACGACCTGGAATGTATGAAATGCATCGATCTGCAACGAATATTTCCAGTTTGTAGACAGTGACTTCGTTTTTTTTTCAACACTTTTCTACCAGTTTTACGTAATATGATTTAAACTACTCATAAAAAACAGTAGTATATGGTATCTACACAAAAATATCAAGACTTACAATTGCATACGTATAGGAGTAACATAGAGGCCTTGATAAACACTCGTTAAAACAATTTGTTGACTTATTGATCACAAGTAATGTATATCTTTCTATGAATGATTGACCTGGTGTTCCCCAACCAGTTATCCAACGTGTAGAATTACAACTCATCTTTCCCTGACATGTCAAACAATCTTTGCATGGCGACAATAAATTGAATGTCTTAGTAAAATTTATTTGTGTATAAGTAGAAGTAATAAGATAAGATGAAATGAATATTGAAGTAATCAATAAATGATTAATCATTTGGTGAAATTTTTAAGCTGTTACTATTTGTTCAAGAATAATAATTAAACGTTATTACTTACAAAAGCCATTTATATAATTTTGATGAGTATGTAATCATTGGTCATTTTTAATGGTTTAAGCCATAAACTGACCAATCACAATCATGTATTAGTGAATAGGGATGAATGAAATTATCTAAACGTTATGTCATACTATATTGGAAAAGGATCATACAGGTTTCTATAGAATAAACTGATCGCTTTAAAGAACGACGTCTGATTGATTTTGATTGATATAACATAAAAAGAGGTTGGAATCTAGTCACTTATTTAAATAGAACAGTGAGAATTGATTAACACAAATGACTAATTAGATATAGAATGTGTTGGTGGGTAGTAAAAATGTCATGCTTATCTGAACTAAGAAAATCATACTTGCAATATCTTTTATAAGGAAGTTATTGTACTGAGTCTGTCAACTAATGTAAAATATAGGCAGTTAGATATCCCTCTAAAATATGAATAGGTTTTTGATCATTGAATCACACGAAAGCAGATGCTTTGTAAAGTGTGACAAGAAAGATAAACTGTTTTCAGTTGGGATACTGATATATGATATTTACATACACAAACATTTTATCGTTGGAGATTAAAGGGACTGTGTATAGTTTATCAATAGTATTTTAAAACTGGCAATCGTAATATCTACGATCAGCTTTGTACTCGAATGAAGAAAGGTTTTAAAGCCTGAGAAATTGCCGTTCATGGAACCTGTGCTCTAACATTAAGCGTATAGAATTCAATCAATATTATGTAATATAAAAATTCATTCCGAATGTTTTTAAAATACAGATCCATTGCTTCCTTATGTAAATCGTAAATATCAACACTGGATGTCAGATTATAGTGGTGAAGCAGTGTTCATCGAAGACAGTGGATGAAGTTGCGCAAGGCCGTGAAGTTAGACATTACCACCGTTAGATACCGGCTCAGTAGTCCTGAGATTAGGTGTTCGCGAGTAAGACCAAAGGTCGTGGATTTGAGTCCTGCGAGTAGGAGTCGTGGATGTGCACTGCTGATGAGTCCCATACTAGGACGAAACGGCCGTCCAGTGCTTTCGGGTTTCTAGTGGTGGTCTAACATTGATCGATTCATAATTTCAAAAAGTAACTCAAAAACCTTCATAACTCCACACAACAAATAACACCATAACAATCAAGAAATTAAACTATGATTCAGAGGCTACGAGTTTTCAAAATAAAATATCAATAGCCGAAATCTGGCTACTTCATTCATAAGCAGCTTATTGATAGTGTTTTTCGATCATGATTATAGTCACGTTTCTACTTTTTACACTAATCACAGAATAAGATATATTTCAAACTCCACTATTTTTTTGTGATTATGTCAGTCAGTTACAAAGTGAAAATTCTTACGTAGGTACATCAGTCCAAATTGCCTTACCGCATCAGTAAAGATACTGCATTGTCAATTCGAACCAAATAATATTAGAGGTAAGAGGTATTAGCGGTAATTGAAACGAATAATGATATAATATATCATTCGAGATATAGACCCCAGAGAAATCGATTAAAAAGAAGAAAAGATGAAGATAAAGGTGCTGAGAAATTCAGTAGATTAGGATTTGAGAGAACACAAATAATTGATACACCAGCAGCATTGCAAACGATTTCGAGCCATGTCGTTCAAGGTCTCTAACCATCAGTTACAAGCATCTCGTGGACCCCAAACAGATAGTCTACACCTACCGACATGACTCAGTCCACTTGTCAGAGCAATACGCGCAATGCTTTGGAGACACCTACGATCGAAAACAAGTAACATACGAATATTCTCTGCTATTATTGGCCATGTTTAACAGCTTTAAAGTAGGACAGGGGGAACTGCTGCGCAGTAGACCCATCCTTTAGTCAGCAAACGGATATCTCGTCTGCGCCATAAGTGACGCAGGTTGACAAAAGCAAATCGAGACTTCTGTATCCGTGCTGAGATTTCGCCAGTCACTAGGCCATCAGCACTGATGAAATTCCCAAGATACTTGAAGCGGTCCACACGCCCGACTACTTCACTTCCTTTCACCAGTTCAGGTGCCGATGCAACATTCCGCATTTCAAGGGAGAGAATCGCATTCACAACATGCCTGCATTGTTGCTTATGATGGTCAGAAAACTCTGCATTTTATCAGCCTCTATACCAAATAGAACTATGTCATCGGCATATTCTGAGTCAAAAAACGAATCTCCCAGTAAAAGTTCAACTCCTGAAAAGTCAGATGATGAAGGTGTTGAGTCTAAAAGCACTTCAATAATAAAGTTCAACTAGAATGGAGAGATAGCCATGGATAGCCATGATGAACACCATTTGAAGTAATCCATTCTGATGACAGTTCGCCATATGCTCTAACTCAACAAGTGGTCTTCTAGTAGAGAGGTTGTATACGGTTAATTTACTTCTTCGGTTCACCTCTCAGAGTCAGATTCTGCCACAGAACCTCATAATCAAC